CCTAGACAAGTGAAAGCACAAAAAAGAATTTTGGAAAATTATTGGACAATTTGAATACTGTTGTGTGACATAGAGGAAGTTGTATATATATCTCTTTTCTGATAGAAGAGATTCTTTTTTCTATTCCAGACTACATTTTTAAATTATTTGATTATTCTACCCAATCTGTCAAAAAGTCTTCAAATATATGCAGGTTTAAAATGAGGTTTTAGAAAGAAGGTGTAAGTTGGTTCTTAAATACAGAAAAGAGGTCATAGGGTCAGGTAAATTAACTTCTCTGTGCCTCAAATTCTCCTTACCTATAAAGTAGAAATAATAATATTCCTTTCTCACAGGATTGTTTCAGGGATTAAATAAGATTAATATACGTAAAACTCTAAAAAGGGTGTCTAGCATTTAGGAAGAAAAGAAACATTCAAATTTAAAAACAGCAAAACATGGAAGAGACATTAATCACAAAAGATATGATGTTTGACATCATTAGTCAGTAGTGGAATGCTATGATATGATAAACACACCTAACAGAAAAGCTTAGCCAGGTGTGGTGGTGCACACCTATGATCGCAGCACTTGGCAGGCAGAGGCAGGAACATGATCTGAGGCTGACATGGGGCAAAAAGTACGAGACCTTATCTGAAAAAAAACTAAAGCAAAATGGGCATGGTATGTAGCTTGCAGCTGCCTAGTAAGCTCTAGATCCTGAGGTCAAACCTTAGTAAAACACACACACACACACACGACAATAACCAATAACATGTTGAAAAGGATGTGAGACCTGACAGCATTGCTGACGGCAATGCAAAGCAGTATAATCACTCTAGGAAAACAGTTTGGCAGTTTCACATGAAGTTAAACCTACAATATGACCCAGCAATTCTACTCTGACTTACCCTAGAGAAATGAAATTTAAAGTCACTAAAAACATGTACATGAACGTCTGTAGTACCTCTATTAATTAGAAAACAAAAATAAACACAAAAAAAAAATCCCACCAAAAAAAATCCTGGAAGCAACCCAAATGTCTTTCATTGGATGAATGGACAAACAAATCATAGTATATCCATGCAATGGGATAGTACTCAGCAATTAAAAGGAGTGAAATACTGAAACAGGATAATTTGGATAAATCTCAAATGTACTGTTGTAAGTGAAAAAAGCCAGTTTCAAAAGGTTATATACTATAGGACTTATTTATAAGACATTTGGGAAAAGACAAAACTACTGGGTCAGACACACAAAGTGGTTGTCAAAGATCAGGGTAAGTGAAAGGTGAACTGAGGTAATGAAACTGCTCTGTATTCTGATGGTGGTAGTTGTTATGAAAAGCCATACATGTATTAAAATCATGAACTAAATACCAAAAAAATCAATTCACTATATTTTAAAAATAATACCCCTCTGTTCTCTCCCCATAAATCTTTTTTTCCATTTCTTTTTATCCTGAAGTTTTCACTTATTTCCACTTTTCTATAATTCTCTATTCCATTATTCAAATAGTCTTCTAGTCACAGTAAATATTTTTATGTTTTCAAATATGTCATATTCTCTCTTGATTCATGCTGATGGCTCTCTATAGTGAAAATCATTCTCTTGGTAAACTCTTACTCATTCTTACAGTTGAAATAAATATACTTCTTCTAAGAAGGCTTTCTCAACCTACCCTCTGTTCCTGGGCTGGGTTATATGTTTCTGCTGTATGATACCATAGTGTTCTGTAATTTTCCCTTCATGTCCTCACATACTTAATCTTTAATACATGTTCTGTATCTCACTCCCCCTTACACTGTGAGTTCCATGAGGGCAGAGATAATATGATGCTTTGCTCACTAAGTAATCCTCAAGGCCAATGTTGTGGAAGGCACAGCATAGTTCCACACATTGGATGTTGTAAAGACTTAGTTGAATCTTAAGAGTTTGAGATAAATAACTTGGTTCCACTTGAAGGCAAACAGAAAACATCTTACCTTGCTTGTCAAAATAAAGTATTATTTCAAATACACTCTTGTTTGGACATTCGATTAAAACTTAAGTCTTCTCTTTGTGTTCTTCCCTCATCTACCATCTGTCCTTTTGTTCTCGATGCCACTAAATTTCCTTTCATGTTTACTCAGTATTTGAACATGCTCTTCTTAATGTCTTAGTATCTATATACAGGAAAAACAGCTTTTCCTAATTTTTTTTTCCTTTTCTAAGACAGGGTGTCACTATGAAGTCAGGTTGGCCTCCAAATCTTGATTCCTGGGTAGTGGGATGACAAACATGTGCCCCAACCCTGGCTCCTTGTTTTGTGGGTGCACAAAATGTTTCTAAATAACTTTGATCATTTAAATTTTATTTTATTTTCATTTATTTAATTTTGTGGTATAGGGGTTTGAACTCAGAGCCTCATCCTTGCTAGGCAGGCACTCTACCACTTGAGCTACTCCACCAACCCATTTTTGTGTTGGGTATTTTTGAGATAGGGTCTCATGAACTACTAGCCTGGCTGGCAATAGTTGATTGATCTAATCTCTCCTGATCTTTGCCTCTCAAGCAGCTAGGATTACAGGCATGAGTCACTGCAGCGTGGCTTGACCATTCAAGTCTTAAATTCCTTTATATTGGTACCTACATTTAGGGGTCTCTGAGAATTGTTTTACAATCTAATCATTCAAATAAACAAAGTACCTTAACTTAATCAAATCAATAAATAACACTGTGGTAAATTACATAAAATTTATCTAGCTTTGTCATTTCAAAGTCCAATACTCTTTAAATTTGCATATTTAAAATTTCATCAGTTGTAAATTTTATTGTAATAAAAAACCAGAATCTAACTGCACAAATACTATTACAATGCATTTTGGAGAAAACTATGTCAAAATAGTAAACCCCAAATAAGTAAGGAGAATCAAACAGATTTCCAGATCACAAACACTTAGAATTAGAAGATACAATCATTCAAGGAATTGAGTCACTCGGTCTGCTGAAGGAGACTACCACAGCTTTGTGAAACATAAGAACAAATTGGCTCTGCAACTAAGAAAAAGGATTGACAAATCGGACTATATGAAATTAAAAAGCTTCTGCACAACAAAATGAATGGTTTCTAAATTGAAGAGGTTACCCACAGAATGGGAGAAAATCTTTGCTAGCTATACATCAGATAAGAGTCTGATAAACAGAATATAGAGGGAGCTCAAAAAAGCTAAACTACCTCAAAATCAATGACTCAATGAAGAAATGGGCACATGAACTGAATAGAGAACCTTTTCAAAGGAAGAAGTCCAAATGGCTAAAAAACACATGAAAAAATATTCATCTTGGCTTTACCCTGGCCATAAATGAAATGCAAATCAAAACCACATAAAGATTTCACCTCACTCCTGTTAGAACAGCTACCATCAAGAACACAAATAACAAATGTTGGTGAGAATGCAGGGAAAAAGGAACCCTCATACACTGCTGGTGGGAATATAAGCTAGTACAGCCACTGTAGAAAATAGTTACTTAAAACACTAAAAATAGAACTGTCATATAATCCAGCAATACCACTCTTAGGAATATACCCAAAGGAATGTGAGTCAGTTTACAACAAAGGCACCTGTACACCCATGTTTATTGCAGCACTATTCACAATAGCTAAGCTATGGAAACAGCTAAGATGCCCCAGTACTGATGAATGGACTAAGAAAATGTGGTATCACATACACTGGAATTTTATTCAGCCACAAAGAATGAAATTTGGTCATTCGCAGGTAAATGGACAGAACTGAAGAACACCATCTTAAGTGAAGTTAGCCAGGCTCAGAAGGCCAAAAGCCACATGCTCTCTCATATGTGGACTATAGACCTAATACAAATGCAGCAATATTGTGAAACACTGGTCACACTAATGGGAGGTCATGGGTAAAAGAAAACTAAGAACTTGAATATAGTTGATATACTCTTTATACAATAATGAATATAGAAATCTTAAATTGGCTGAACCACCATAAGAAAGGGACTTAGGTAGAATGAAAAAAATTAGAAACGATAAATCATTTGGGGATATAATACAAATACACATGGAAATATCACAAGGAATTTCCCTGTGTAACTACCTTTATTTCCAGCAAACTAAAATGTCATGTTCTTTTTATCTTTCATCTTTTTTCTTTTACAAAATTGGAAAATGGAAGGGCAGAACAGGTTGGGGGAAGGGGGCACGAATTGGCACCAGTGGGAGGGGAAGGTGGTAGGGAAAGGGGGTAGGAGGGTGACGACTGTGTAAAAAACGTGTACACATGTATGTAAATACAAAAATGATACCTGTTGAAACTATTACTGGAATGGGGGGGATAAAGGAGAGCAATGGAGGAGGTGAATTCAAGTATGATATGTTTAATACATTGTAAGAACCTTTGTAAATGTCACAATGTGCCCCCACCCAGCACAACAATAAAGGGGGAGGGGAACAACTAACAGTCAATGAGGCTCTAAAAGATAAAAACATCATGCAGAACAGAACACTGAATACTAAACTGCCTCTATATCTGTATGTATCTGCATATGGTAATAAATTCAAAATATTTACCTAAAGAAAATTCTGGTCCTTCAATTCCCTTTCAGGCTGATATCCTTATTAGGTTCAACAATTCACCCCAAAAGAATATAAACCCTTAAAAGCTAGCAGCATAGCTCAAGTGCACATACGTAGCAAGCATGAGGCCCTGAGTTCAAACCCCAGAACTGCCCCTCCTCCTTCACTAAAAAAAAATGTATAGTCTGTAACTTCACTGAGAATAGTTACACTCAAGGTTTTTCTAAATGAATTTAACCTAGTGATAAAGAAATCACAAGAAGGAACATAGTCACAAATGAAGGGTAGCCATTTACAAATATGGTCAAAGCAACAGTGCCTAACATGAATGAAACCCGTGGTTCAATCTCCAGCTTTGTACATATAGAGATTTAAAAATTTCTGATACTGAGTAGTGAAGCCTAATTCAACAATATCAAAGTAAGTTTTCTTTACTTACCCTTGCATAGTGGAATTCAACTCCATAGAGTTCTAAGGTACGTGCTGTGTTCAGGTAATTAAATTCTGCTTCTGCAGGAGATGAGCCTCTGTAAACATCAATAGGTCAATCATTAGATCCATTGCAAATATGGACAAATTAGAAAAAGTTTATGTGGAACAATGACCAAGTATAGTCTAAATCTTTTACAAAATACCATTTTTTTGTATTGTAACATCTAACTTATTTAGTATTTAGTAGAACTTATTTTTGAATTATTGGAAGTTTAGTAGAAAACTTCCAATAATTCAAAACATTTGTGTTCCAGATGTTTTCTTATTTTCCAGAAAAATAAGAATATAGCAAATTTTAAAAACCCTTAGCTGGTTTTATGGCTTTAACAAAGTCACTTATTTTCAGATACAACTTTAAAACATAACTTTTCAGAACATGGTTCAAACATCATACCAAAATTAAATTACACAAGTACTTTTAAACATGCAGATTCTAAGGTGACCTCCAGAACAATGCTTTTCAGAGTGCAGTGTATATATAGGTATTGATTTCCAAGTACAAAAATGCATGTCAGAGACTTCTACAGCAGTTGGGCAGGATAATTTTGTGTCATTTGAATCCAAGAGTGAAAAAAATAGGACTTTTTTTTTTATGTCTTATGTCTTTATAGCTTCATCTTATTTTTCTAGTAACTCATTTTTATTACATATTTCAAAATATAAATAATATAATAATGACTGGAGAAAGAACTGTTCTTTCATCACAGATGGTTGCAGAAATACAGTTCTACAGAGGGGCTGAGGTCCAAACTGTTGAGACTCAAGTTCCCTAATGATTCTTAAGAACGCAAGATCAAGAACTATAATCTCTAAATGTGAAGTCTTTAAAAACAGATTAAATTTGTTTCATACATAGTTCTAATAACCTTATTTATCTGCTATTATCGAAGTATAGCAAAATAAAAGCAGAAGAGTATAAAGGCAAAGACATCAGCCTTCTGTTCATTAATGATACAGAAGAGGGAGTCAATAACCTGACAATGTAGGATCGTAACAAATGTGATTCTCCAAAATAAATAAATAAAAATAAATGCAGGTATAATTCTCTTTTCTATAAGGTTTGATTAAATTAAATACATAGGCCTCCACTTAAACTGGATACCTCTGTTTTTCTTTGTATATAGAGCTGATGAAATAGGTTCTTTAAACATCATAAAAATATATAATGGACCTCTAGTTAAATGTACAAATCTTTTCCTTATGTAAGAGACTTTTCATTATTGGTAAATTTAAAATCTGATTTATACCCCAACTCCATTCAAAATTCTGTATATAGAACTTTCATTATAAAGGATTTTCTTTTGTAGAAAAACACCACCCTTGCCACATTTGGATTATTAAAATTCTTAAGTCATTAGTCTATTTTAGACAAAGGGTCAGCCAATCTTTTACTGGAAAGGGCTAGATAGTAAATATTTTAGGCTTTCAGGACAGATGGTTTCTGTAGCAACTACTTAGCTCTGCCATTGTGTGAAAGCAGCAACAGGCAACATCTAAACATATGAAGACGACTGTGTTCCAGTAAATGTTTATTTATGCACACTGAATTTCATAAAATTTCACATGCTACAAAATGATCTTCTTTTGATTTTTTTTAACCATTTAAATATATATATGGGGGGGGTACAGCTCAGCAGAACACTTGCCTAGCACCTGCAAGGCTCTGGGTTTGAACCCCAGCACCACCTTCAAAAAAGATAGACAGACAGACAGACACACATACACATCATTTTTGGCCCAAGGCAACTAGTTTGCCAACTTGTTTTAGACACTAGGCTATCACCAAATGAAAGGGAGTTTTTTCTTAATAAGAGCTAGTATTTCTTTATTGTCTACCATGTGGCTAGTCACCATTATGTACAAAATCTCACTGAAGACTTAAAATAACTTCAGAGATACTTTTATCAAACGCAACTTGCATATTAAGAAATAGAGAAGCAAAAACATAGAACAATTTGGTCAAAGTCCTAAGATAGTAAGTAACCTTACCAGATATTTAAACCAGGCAATTTGACTGTCTAGTTCAAACTCTTAGCAATTCTTTCAGGAGTGTTCTGAATCACATGTTAAAGCAAAACTAATTTTTTTTTCATTTTTCTTTTATTATTCATATGTGCATACAAGGCTTGGTTTATTTCTCCCCCCTGCCCCCACCCCCTCCCTTACCACCCACTCCACCCCCTCCCGCTCCCCCCCTCAATACCCAGCAGAAACTATTTTGCCCTTATCTCTAATTTTGTTGTAGAGAGAGTATAAGCAATAATAGGAAGGAACAAGGGGTTTTGCTGGTTGAGATACGGATAGCTATACAGGGCATTGACTCACATTGATTTCCTGTGCATGGGTGTTACCTTCTAGGTTAATTCTTTTTAATCTAACCTTTTCTCTAGTTCCTGGTCCCCTTTTCCTATTGGCCTCAGTTGCTTTAAGGTATCTGCTTTAGTTTCTCTGCATTAAGGGCAACAAATGCTAGCTAGTTTTTTAGGTGTCTTACCTATCCTCACCCCTCCCTTGTGTGCTCTCGCTTTTATCATGTGCTCAAGTCCAATCCCCTTGTTGTGTTTGCCCTTGATCTAATGTCCACATATGAGGGAGAACATACGATTTTTGGTCTTTTGGCCAGGCTAACCTCACTCAGAATGATGTTCTCCAATTCCATCCATTTACCAGCGAATGATAACATTTCGTTCTTCTTCATGGCTGCATAAAATTCCATTGTGTATAGATACCACATTTTCTTAATCCATTCGTCAGTGCTGGGGCATCTTGGCTGTTTCCATAACTTGGCTATTGTGAATAGTGCCGCAATAAACATGGATGTGCAGGTGCCTCTGGAGTAACAGTCTTTTGGGTATATCCCCAAGAGTGGTATTGCTGGATCAAATGGTAGATCGATGTCCAGCTTTTTAAGTAGCCTCCAAATTTTTTTCCAGAGTGGTTGTACTAGTCTACATTCCCACCAACAGTGTAAGAGGGTTCCTTTTTCCCCGCATCCTCGCCAACACCTGTTGTTGGTGGTGTTGCTGATGATGGCTATTCTAACAGGGGTGAGGTGGAATCTTAGTGTGGTTTTAATTTGCATTTCCTTTATTGCTAGAGATGGTGAGCATTTTTTCATGTGTTTTCTGGCCATTTGAATTTCTTCTTTTGAGAAAGTTCTGTTTAGTTCACATGCCCATTTCTTTATTGGTTCATTAGTTTTGGGAGAATTTAGTTTTTTAAGTTCCCTGTATATTCTGGTTATCAGTCCTTTGTCTGATGTATAATTGGCAAATATTTTCTCCCACTCTGTGGGTGTTCTCTTCAGTTTAGAGACCATTTCTTTTGATGAACAGAAGCTTTTTAGTTTTATGAGGTCCCATTTATCTATGCTATCTCTTAGTTGCTGTGCTGCTGGGGTTTCATTGAGAAAGTTCTTACCTATACCTACTAACTCCAGAGTATTTCCTACTCTTTCTTGTATCAACTTAAGAGTTTGGGGTCTGATATTAAGATCCTTGATCCATTTTGAGTTAATCTTGGTATAGGGTGATATACATGGATCTAGTTTCAGTTTTAAGCAAAACTAATTTTGAACTAATATTACTTTTTATTCAAAATAAGTATCTTTTTTTAAAAAGTCACAGAAAGTTAAGACTCACAAAAAAAACAGTTGAGTACTGTTGTGAATGAAAAAATGCTACTGTTTTTAAAGGAATTTTTAAAATTAATTTAGCATTTCATGAAGTTTATTTTCTCCTCTTGATTCATTACCAAATAGAATCAACTCCTTTCATATAGCTGAAAACAAAGGTAATTATCAAATACATTGATGTTAATATTGGAACACATGATTAATATTCTAAAATTCTTTCTTAAAGAACTGACAATTTTATATAATAGCAAATCATTTTCTGTTTATATATATCTTTGTGGTTCTTAACAGAAATGAAAATAAGCCATATATATTTTATGAAATGTTATATACTTTTAATATAGATCACCTACATTTCTTTATAACAATTTTATATAATGGTAAGTATTCTATATTAAGTAAAAACAACAATAAAATCAAAAATAATTTAAAACATTTTTCTGGAAAGGATGCCAATAAGTGGTTTACCAAATAAGTAGTGAACAAAATAAATCCTTACATATGTTGCTGATGTAATTTTGCAACTTCCTTTTCAAACTCTTGAGGTTGACTAGGAATGAAAGAATAATCTGAGAGGTAGCCTGGCAAATTTTCTGATTGATTGTAGTCGCCAAGTTCAGCTAATAATAAAAAGGAAAACTCATACTTTAATAAACATTTCAATAATTATATTCTAAAACAACGTCATTAACTCTAATATATTTCTGGAAGCAAAATATTTATGCTTCTAATGCAGTCATGCAAGTTGCAATGATTCATTTAACATTCTTCTAAGTCTCAGACAATTTCAGAGGAAACCTGTTTCAAGAATCAAAGTAACTATAAACAAATTGGACATTTTTCTTTACAGTTTCTATTTTCTGTACAGTGACATGTGTAAAGAGTTCCTGCATTAAAGGCAGAGTACTACCAATACAGGCACAAAATTGTACACTATTTGACCTAACAGTGGGCTGATACTTACATTGAACAGCAAATGAAGCTAAAAGGGCAGCAGTATTAGAAGGACAAGGCAATCTAATAAAACAAAACAGAAAATACAAACCCAAGTTTAAACATAATAATTTCAAAAGTGCTGTGATTTATGTTATACTATTCACATCTGAAGTTTCTATGTGACTTAATTTTAATTAAGAAATGAATTCATCTAATAAAAGGAATCCACAGTACATGCAATCATCTTTTGATAGACACTTGTTTGCAATCATGAATTACTTTAATACAGAATTAAAGGTATTTAAAAAGTGTATTATTAAAAAATTAAAAGTAGCTCACCTTCCAGTCAGAATGTCTTGTTTAATTTGCAAAAAATACTGGTACCTTTAAGGAGGAGAAAAGCATTACTGGAATTATAGCAATTTTAGTCCTAAGAAACAACACTAAATAAATATTTAAATATTTGCTTTTACAATATACATATTAGCACATGTAAGATCAGCACATGTACACATTAGCACACATTTTAAAAATAAGCTTTCATAAATTCATTAACACAAATCTTTAAAATTCTTTGGTATATGAAATTTTGTACATTGAATGTATGTTTCTATTATAAGACTTTTAAGATTTTTAAGAATTACAAGACCAAGAAGATTGTGGAGAAATATTCTGAGGATTGGCATATACAGAAAGTAGAACTGAGAAGCATAGAAAACTTGAACATCAGACACATGGGAGAACTGAGAATAACATAACAGAAACCAGTTAAAAGAAAATCATCCTTGCCTGAGACAGGAAGTCAGCTGTGAGGACAGGCATAATTGTTGATCATTTTATCATTAGACTTACGGTAAAACCACAACAACTGTTCACTTCCATTTGAGTTAATAAAGTACTCTTTGACAAGAAAAATAACCTAAATTCCTTTTCTTAGTACTGCTCAAGTATCATTAAAATTGTTAAGTAACCAGTTTCCTTTAAAACCAAAAGTATCCTGTGACAAAACAGCTAAGATGGCATTGTTCTTCTGTCCCTGCTAGTGGGCAAGCCATTCACTTATCAATTTCTGGGCAAAGTCACCTGTGCTGAGTAACACTGGCAGAAAAACAAATGTTTTGGTTTTAAATGATTAAACAGATAGTTTTTAAGACATTTATTTCATCAAAGGTAAAAAAAAAGTACATATTCCAAGAGTCAAAATTCACTAGAAATTCTATTTTGGCTTGTCATTAACTAGCTCCATGACAACATTCAAATTACCAATGAGTGTAATTAAGGTTTTCAGAAAATGAAATATTCATGTGTATTAATGATGTACATAAATTCCCTGTGAGGCCTAATGTATATTATAAATATTATCTATTTAATCCAAGACAGTATATTTCTATCCGGACTACTTGGTTTCATGATTAAAAGTTAAAGATCAGGTGAAATGTTACTCAATGCTAGAGTTCTTGCTTAAAGTCTGTAGCCCTGGTTTCAATTCCTAGAACCAGGAAAAAAAAAAAAAAAAAGGAGGGACAGCAGAGGTCTTGGTGGAAAAACAATCTTATATTAGGATTTAAAGGTCAATATATCCTTGATATAATATTGTATATCCTACACAAATAATACCTATACTTGCTGAATTTAACTTACATACTCATTTAACCAGGCAGAATTATTAGAGTGGAAACCAGAACTCAATTAGTAGGCTAAACTAGCCTTTGATCTTGAACAAACTAATATTTGGCTGAGCCTTAGTTTCTACATTTGTAAAATGTAATACCACTTGCCTAGTGTACATGTCCTTAAAAATTGGAAAAATTCAATTCTAATGATGCTGACACTTCCCAATACATTTACCCTGTTGGAAGCCTGTTGCACTCCAACCTTTTTTCCCATTTATTCAAAATAGTTACCTCAAAATAAAGAGAGATAGCAGATTTCCTGATATGCAGGGTCTAAACTAATCCTGAATATTTGGAGGCTGTGGCTGAGGGTGTCCTTGCTTCTAATATGATCATATTAAGGCTACCCAAGCACTAAAGTCTTAAAAGAGTAGTTCTTAATCCTGGCTACGTACTGGAATCACCTGGGGAGCGTGCCTACATTCAGGTACCATGTGAGAACTATTAAATCAGAGTATCTAGGGGTGTGACTAATTAGTATTGTTTACAGCTTTCTCAACTGTTGTACACTATGACAGTTAAAAGTAGCCACGTACCACAATTTACCAAACTGCACCAGTTATAGGCTCCTACAACATTCCATTAAAAAGAATTGTGAACTAAAACGTAATTTCTAATAAAAACGAAGATAATCTAGATTGATGGACTGAGCACAAGCTAATTCTCAACTACTGTCAAACTTGATTTCAGTAACTTTAAGAAGTTCTTTCAGATATATCTATTTAACATAGGCTGTAAAAGAATCAACATAAGGAATTCTACTAAGAAATTTAGATAGTTTTTGGTGAGAAGAAAATTATGAACCTGGATGTAAATGACAATATTTTAGCTGCATATATTAACAAACTTACCATAAATATTAAACATGTTGGAAATCCAATGTTACATCGTTATTATAATTACAAATATTTCTTACACATTTAAAAGCATGATTTCCTAAAACATATACTATGGAATATTTTGTTACTTGATTTAAAATTATTATATGTACTTAGAAATAAAATGCATTTAATACTGCTTTATAACTCAAATTTTGCTTAGAACTCAAGTTTTCATTAATTCAGAGTAGTTTCCTTGGAGGTCACAGAAAATTAGAGAACTTCTTATTATACTGAGAATTACTTATTATGATAAAAGACCTTGTTTAATTATATAACAACAATGAAACTTGACTAAGGGCTACAATACTAAATCAAAGGGTATTCATATGAAACAACATTGTTTCTTCAAATAAATTAGCTTGGATTCTACTACTGGTTACAAGTATTAGGACTGCCCAACTCAGAGGCTAAATTCCTGAGTTTTCACATTTTTAAAAAAGTACTACCCACCCCCTTTCCAACAAATAAACAGAAAAGGACTCTCAAGAATTTCAGTCTAATTCTTCTTACATGGTTTAGTATTGAAAACTTTACAAATAACTGAGAAATGGCATCTTAGGCTAACTGAGTATCTTTATTGTTTTGCTTCTCCACTCTAATATATAATTGGAGTAAATCTGAATAGTCATGGCCCTATTTTTATATCTGAGAATTTTACAGAAGGTAAAGTACGCTAATTCTTTATTCTATCTTTTTTTTTTTTAACTAATTACTAATTCTATCTTTCAAGCAATGTACAGGGCTCTCATTCAGGTATTTTTAATAATGACAGTCATAACATTGTCAGTCTTTCTTATTTCTACACTAAACATTTCATCTAACATTCAAGAACACTATCAAAATGTTCATCTGGATCATTCCTGTACATCTTGTCAAGTAAAAATGACAACAAAATTAGACAGTAACATAAGCTTAGAATTAAAATGGGCAGTGAAGTGGGCATGTAAAGGCCAGAACATGCTAGTATACTCCCTACAACATTTATAAAGCCTAGTATGCTTTCTTTGGAACCAAAGATTAAAAATATAGAGAAAAAAAGGTACCTAGTGACTGAACATGATGGTTATATATTTTAGAAATTCTATATTCTCCTAAATGAAAAGAAAGTAACATATAGAATATGCTTTTAGATTAAAAAACATTGCAAATTCTCACCATATATCATCCATTAGATAGTTCCAATGTTTCTGATTACCTCATTTAATTACAGCAGTGCTTCTTAAATATTGTTCACAAGTAGAAAAATTTAGTATTTGTATGGCTCAAGAGGCTGCTTGTGGCTAGATGGGACACCCCTGAAGTTCTAAGTTTTAATCCCTAAAAGTCATCCTAGTCATCCAAAAGGGAAGGCAATGGCTATCTTGGAACATCCACAACTTAGTCTGTGTTCTGGATGGGAAACTCAGAATTACAGTAGGTAATTTATTTTTGCTCATTTCAAATTTTTATATTTTAGTTTTGATAATGTTCTCAAGAGAAATATGCTCCATAAACCCACCTTGTATACTCTTCTTGTAACTTGTTGGGGTCACTTACAAAAAATTTGACTCTAAAGTTCAAACTGTAAGGAGATCCTCCTAGAATTGATAGAAGCAGTTCTAATTAATCAGATTGTATTAATCCTTTACTTTATAAGGTAATTTGCAAAACATCAAGTAAATATGTTTGCTCACTCTTTAGCTGCTTCCTTATTGGTTTGTTTGGATCCAGCCACCTCTGGAAAACAAAAGAGAAAAGATTTCTTTTTTTTTTTTGAGGACCTAATGTATCAGTTCTTATAAATCTGTTCCATTTGAAAATTAACACTAAAAATTGCTTTTGGAAAAGTGCCAGGTAGAAAGAAAATGCATTAAATTATATCAACTACAACAAAATTAAGTGAGAATTTAACTTTACGTATTTGTGGTAGCTTTAAGATTTTGATTTCCCATCAAATTATATAACAATACAGTAATAACAAGTACAGCAATCTGAAGTTACTTCTGTAAGTTATTTTATCTGGGAACTTTAAAAAATTCTTTTCACCTTTTATTAAAATGTTGGGCATTATATTCTCATTCAGACACAATCTTAACTATAGAACTTGAAAATTTATTCTTTAAGAGAAAATTTCTACCCTATTCCTTAAAGCCCCTGAGATAATGTTTTGTTTGGGAAAGGACTGCTTTTTGTGCATGAGGATTTTAATATCAGTTAGGCTTTACTTACAGAAAATCATAATTGAATTCAGAAAATATTTCAACTGTGAACATATTTCAGCTAAAAACGCTAACCAAAAATGTGGTATTAAATGTGGTAGTGTTTTCAAAGCGCTATATAGCTGTGTTGTGTATCACCTGTGTATAAATCTAACTCCTCTCTCCATGTTTGATTCCATGCAAAGCAAATAAATACTTTTTTTTTCTTTTTTTTGGTGGTGCTGGGGATCACACTTAGGACCTTGTGTATTCAGGGCAAGTGCTCTAACAATGACCTAGCTCCATTAGACTTTAATGACAAACAGCTGAAAGTAATCCATGACTCTTTCCTCTCCATTACCTGTAATAGTTAACACATCAAATCCAGTTTTTCTCCATCTACTCTGCTACCATATATCTCTGGCCTAGGCTCTGGCCATAGCCTCTTTAACTGCTCTCTCGGTTTCTTTTCTAACCACTCCTCTCCATCCTCCATTCAGCTACAGTGGCCTTTTTTAAAACATCAACTTGATGTCACTCTTTGCTTAATACCTTTTGATAGTTTCCAAGTTCAAGATTCAAAATCCTTACTGTGGCCAGAATGGTCTCTTCTTACCTCTTCCACCTCAAATTCTTAAGTTCCAGCCATAGCA